AATTTCTGATTCAATATGTCAAAATTCTGACAACATCTTTTACATAACATTTCTAAACGTTCTTGTGACGTCCTGTGCCATTTTGGGTGGGAAGGATGGCGTTACTCACTTCTGTCAATCTGAGCAACACTAGCCAATTGTGGGCATCTTTCAAGGGCAGTTAAAAAAGATTCAAAAAGATGTAGTTTGCTTGCTTCACGTTTCTCAGTGGAGGTTAGTCTTCATCGTCCCTGGCTGGTAGCGCTTGTGTGATAGATAGCTAGAGGGTGGGGACTGGCAAATGTTACCAAAACAAATGTTACCAAAATATCTCCATAATGTTAGCTGTTGTCTAACTGGTAAGGTTACATTCACAAGAATGTTTGCCATCCATCAAAAAGTGCATTAATGTGCATTGCTGGTTTGCCATAGTCAAAAAATTAAGGTGAAATGTTTTCGTTTTGTGTTCATCCGACCTCTGCACATGCTGACAGTGTGCCTAACTAGTGCCTGTTGTGAATTGTGCTCATCAATTTGGAAAGCTGATTATACAACTCTGGATGTGCAGTGACAACTGCGACTAATTTATCTTCCTCATCTTCTAAATGGATGGCTGTAGCCTGACATCAAATGGTGTGTTTTTAATGGATACCAGAAAACACAGTGTGAGCACTGTTTTGTAGAATATTGTGAAGCAATTCATTGATGAAGCATGCATTTTCAGAACATAGCAGAAATGTTACCTTCTGAGGACCTTTTCTCAGTTATCTGAAGAACTGCTTTTGGGACATTTAAGCCTTCTATTGACCACCTTTGTCTATGCTTCCGCCTCCTTAGATAATGAAGCAGATGAAGAAGAAAATGCATCTACATTTGGCATCTACATTTTGAATTCATGGAGTAGATACACCACTCTACACTGTCTCCTCTCTGTCCTGAATTAGCCAGCATAATCACCATTTCCATCTATTAAACATTGTTATTCATATATACATAACTTTATGCTCACACACCCTGGCAGCAGGAGATGACATCACAGTTTCAGAGCTTATGTCAGTCTGAGCCGCAACTTCAGAGTTTGTTTACAGACTCTGTACTGAGTTTATTAACAGGGATTTCCGCAAAGTTCATTTCCAGGTAGAGAAAACGCACAGAGTTCGGGAACATTCAGCTTCATTTTCTTACTGGAGTAAAAAAATCAAGGGAATGAGCAAGCAGTGAGAAGGGAGGTCGCTAAGGGAGATCAATAGCTCAATGGAATTAGCCAGGCTTTAAAACTTGCCTGTCAATCATATTTACCGAGGCTTGCTTTTCGCAGCCAAGGACTGCTCAATATTTAAAATCCAGCAGGTTGAAATGCTTTAACAATGTAGCTGCTGTCCAAACCCATTTGCCTCTAAAGCTGGCTAAATAGAAAAAAAAATCCTTGTTAACACTGGGATTGCAGTTGGGTTTCGTTACATTCTTTAATATGCGTAAGTGTTTCACTCCTAGAAAGATGTAATATAGAAAAATGTGGTTCGCAGCATGTAGCCACACATATACCTTTAAAAAATTTCCATTACATCACTTTCACAATCAGGCCGGTTCACTTGACATTTTTAGTTATTCCCTGCACGCATAATGCTCTCATAAAGATGAGTCCTGTTAGTAAGCATCAGTTAGTAGTTAATGATTTGACACTTAATTCAAAATAAACTTTAACACACCTCCAGGTGAGAGGAGCTGTCATCTATATACCATGAATGAAGAGCTGTACCACTAGGGAGTTAAATGCCCCTGAGAACAAAAACAGGGGTCAAGAGCATTGGCCCCAGTGGCCTGAGCAGGTCTAGGCAGGAAGAGCCATAGTGCACCATGGGAAAGCCACAAGGCTGAGCACGATTAAGGACATGAAGCAAATGCCCACCTGTTCCTGCTGAACCTGACTGGGCAGCGGGCGCACAGGGTCTCCCTGGGGTGCTTTAATACACCCACTCCATCTGTTGCCTGGAGAAGTGAAGGGCAACAACAGCCAAGAACACAGGCCCTTTCTCCCACCCTGCCATACCCCTGCCCTGGCCTCACCACCAAGCCTACAGTCTTGCTTTTGCTTTACTACATTCTCAAACTCTTTCTCATTTACTGTAGAAATGTGGCTTGCTAGTTTCAGCTTAACAAATTGATACCTGAAATGAACAAACGTTAGATTTTTTTAGTTTTGACTGCTAACTAAACAGCCAGCTAGCAATCTATGCTAGCAATTGAGATGCATTTTGCTTCGAAAACAACACACCAAAATATAAATACTAGCAAACAGCTGAAAACTGGAACTAAAAACTATTTTTCATTGATTATAACCAACTACTCGGCTTGGTAACACAAGCTAGCTATATTCTGCAGCCAAAATACACTGTCAGCTAACAGTCTAACTAGTACACATACTATATATTAGCTATGTAAGTTAGCTACTTTATGTTAGCTTTAAGAGTGTCACTTGCCAGTTATTCAACAACAAAAATCATAATCACTTTTACCACTGATTGAGTATACGCTAATTATGCCAAAAGAGGTCTTATGAACATGAAATTATTTGTAACTGTAAGTTCCCTAGTTAGCTAGTCAAGCTAATGAGTGAATTAGAGGTTAATAAAGCGAATGAAATATGCTGCTTTATTTTAGCCAGCTAATGTGCTATGGTGAGCTCCACGAGCCCTTCTGTTCATTAATTTACCCATCATATATTAGGATAATATTACTCAGAGTAAATGAAATGCCAAACAAATTTCACCTCTGGGAATACGCAGTCTACCAGCTTAAATATTTCAATATTATCTCAATGTATGCTAACACTAGCTAGCAAGCTTAGATACCTTGTTTGATATTATAACAAGGGAATGAAAGAAGAGAGGAAAAGGTTGACAAAGCCTTCTTAAAGACTACTGGTTGAAAAACACTGGAACTGCTTGTTCTGTATCTCTCAGTAACACAGGACAAAAGTTGCTCCAGTATGTGGAGTTGACTCAGTGAACAAAAATGTGGATAAGCACAAGTGGATGAAGCTTTGTCAATCAGACACGGCACTAAATGTTCTTTCTCTGGGTTTTGTCATATTCACTCCCTCTCTCCTGCCGTCCCTCTCGCTCACTCGTTCTCTCTCCCGGTCGTAAATGATTATTATCAATTCAAAAGCTCCCTTTATTCTAATTGCCTTGTAAATAAACTTACTTGTCATTACTTCTCAAGCCAATTACATGCTGTCTAATGGCAGTGCTTAATTAGCAGACATTCTGCTGGAAAAGAGCAAGAGTGGGAGACAGGAAAGAAATGAATGGAAGAGAAAGAAAAATGTTGGTGAGGGAGGAAGGGGATGTGTTCAAAGCCTAATTACACAGTCGTCAGTTTTTTCTCTGTGAGTACAATGGCCAGCAGTCAGTCTCTCCCTCTCCGCTGTTTCTCTCAGATGAGGCAGAGTGGCCAGCACACAATGCCCCTCGTCGAGGGGTGTGACCCACAAGCCATAATCACACACTTTGCCAAGCCAGGCATTTAAGGAAAGAAGAGAGGATAGCTTGTTAAAGAAAAAATCACTCTCCATTTCTCCTCGTTTTAATCAATGCGCACTCATCACTGACCTGGTCTCTTTGCAGTGCGCTATTTTTCTATCCCCTAATGTTAAAACCGTGATTTCAGGATTCATCTTCTTGCTGTTATACTGTATTTTAATCATTTGTTCCTCTGGATTAACCTGTTCTACCTTCCAGCCTGACTTTATATCAAGTAATGAGATGCTGTTTGTATAACAGAATATTTTGCTCTGCATATGTTTTTTTTTTAAGTTGTCATTATGGTGTAGGGCTGTCATTCATTTAAAAATACATTCAAATTATAATTACTAAAAGATTTAGCATTCAAATTTATTTAAATGTTAGTGAACCTATAATTATGTACTACCATGGCCAGAACTAACTTTAGCACACTATGGTTTCTAATTGCATAAACCAATATCAAACATGTTTTTGATTTAGTAAAATAAATGTATCCATAGTGATGATTTCTTTTCACTGATATTTAGTTGTATATAACTTTTATTACCCCCTGGGATTATTGTAAAATACGTCACCCAGGAATAGAAAGTACTTGAGTTTAGATTATCCAAACAAATTCATCAGTGTAGAAAAAAAAAATCAAGAATAATGCCAATTTGTCATCTGCTATAAGCTACTTAATTCCATCAGTTAAAAACATTTATTTTTTTTTACATTTTTAAATATTTGAGTACATTTAAATGTAGCAATGTTTTAACTTATTTTATTTGAGTACATTTTTGGCTAGATACTTCCAATTTTAATTGAGTACAATTCTGACACATTATCTATACTTTCTCAGTACTTTTTCCACCCCTTTTGCCATCAGGATTTCTCTAAAACACTGGGCTGAATCCCAAATAATTTCCTATTAACTAATTAGGGTATAATGAAATAATGATGTTGTAGTAGTGCAATACATGCTCAATAGAACACGATTTGATATCCAGAAAAAGAGTGGCTTTAATATGTGCCTGTTGGAAACTATTTATATTACTCTTAGGACACTCTTTGTTCATTTGTTCAAGTTTAAATTTGGAGAATTAATACAATTTTTTTTTTTTTTTAGAAATGTGGCAAAATATAATTTTAAGGACAGCCAAAGCGCAAGTAGAGCTGTTTGGCCAAGTTTATGAATGGTGATATGACCAAATGACTAAAGTTAGAACTTAGGATCTTAAACATCCATCCATCCATTTTCTGTACCGCTTATCCTACACAGGGTCGCAGGGAGTCTAGAGCCTATCCCAGGAGATTTGGGGCACAAGGCAGGGGACACCCTGGAGGGGGGGCCAACCCATCACAGGGCACAATCTCTCACACACACACACACACACACACACTATGGACAATTTAGAGATACCAATCAGCATGTCTTTTGACTGGGGGAGGAAACTGGAGTACCCAGAGGAAACCCCCAAAGCACGGGGAGAACATGCAAGTGCCACACACACAGGGCAGAGGTGGGAATCGAGCCCCTGACCCTGGAGGTACAAGGCAAATGTGCTAACCACTAAACCACCATGCCCCCAAGGATCTTGAACATGTGGACATTTAATTTTTTGCCTTTGAGTAAATCTTCATTCTGACAGTGCTACTGTGGAGTAATGACTAAGATCATCTCAAATACCAACTTTAATCATTCTAGCTAAGATCTGTGAAAGTCAGAGCAGCTTCTATTTCATTTTTGTTACCATATTATGTTTGGGTCAATAAAATACCTCTAGAGGATAATCCATAAATGCAGTTTATTTTAGCAGGATGAGATTGTGGCCTGTTCAGCTACTGTTATCAATAAGCACCAATCTGATATGAGAATGTGGGCATGATTACAGCAGTGTTAAATGACACAGATCTATATATAGGATTACATTCTACCATATCCATTTACTGATTTACTCTGTGTGTGTGTGTGTGTGTGTGTGTATGTGTGAGTGTGTCTGTTTGGTTTAATATAAGAAGACGGCGTTTCTCTTATCCCTGTTTGGCATCTGCCTCCTTTTGCCACACTATCAGCTGTTACTCCTGCCCTCTCCACCACCCAATCAGGTCTGTCAGGATCAAGCGACTGCACAGAAGGGAGGAATAGGGAATAGTATGGGATTTTCCATCCAGGATATTTAGGTGAATTTTGAAAATGCAAAAAAAAAAAAAAAAAAAAAAAAAAAAAAAAAAAAAAAAAAAAAAAAAAAAAAAAAAAAAAAAAAAAAAAAAAAAAAAAAAAAAAAAAAAAAAAAAAAAAAAAAAAAAAAAAACACTGCAGGAAAAAAGCCCAAAATAAAATAAAACATATCTCAAAAAGGGTTCTTACAATTGGCTGAAAAGTGGGTCTAAAGATTAGATGTGCAAAGGAGTGATGGAAACTTTTTTTTCCAAATAAGTGATGATAAACGACATCTAAACATAAACATAGCTATAGAGGATACTCATGTGCTGTTTGGACACGTAAAGAAATGCAAGTTTATTCTCAATTTCATTAACAGAAGCAACATCAAATCTCAGGACAAAGTGGTTACTGAAGATGAATGAATGAACTGAATCTATACATTGTGCCACTTTTTGACACCATATGTGTACACAGCCGAAAACAGATGTAGACTTTAGATTTTGTATTGTCTTTTCTCCCTAATCACTTTTACGTCATCAGGATTCGCCTGGCCATTGTTGATGGAAACACAAATAAATTTTCTTTAGTTGAATTCTCAGAAATTCATTTAAAATTCATTTAAAACTTTGAATGTAAACCCAGCATGTTGAGAGATGCACTTTTTGTCATTTTGACTTATTTGCTTCACTCTCTTCACTTCAAATTTCTTACTTTGCTTCTTTAATTCTCTGATTTGCTCGGCATTAGATGGTTATTGTATTGAGCCGGTTGTGAGGTAACGCTTTGATGCTACTGTCCTAAAGGAAAGGTTGCTTTGAGGGGTAAATAGTACTACTGTTTTCTGTTTATACAATAAAATAGTCCATGTCAGAACATTATACTCGTATATTCCACAGATTATGTGAAACTGAACAGTAGATTCAAAATTAAAATGTGCAGCCACAACTTGTTCTATGTTTAAGGCATAGCTTGATATACATTCTGTTCAAGCATTACTGAGACCAAGGCCAAACCCTGGAGGTGTGTACATAGCATAAAATGCAAAATGCAGCCTGCATATTGCTTTTGTCTGCACAGCAATCAAAAATGCCAATGCAAATGCCATGTATCATGCACATCTGTATTATAGAACATGTGTTTGTATGTACTGTACGTGTGTCTTGTCAATAAACCCTGTAAGTCCATCTGAATGCTTGAGTACACCATTTTTGGAAGATGAAAGGAGAGGTCTCTGGGAGAGTATTACATAATTCTTAAATAATCAACATGACAATATAAAGAATAAGCTTTATGAAATGGAACCTGTTTTGGGTTTCAGTGCTACAACATTCATGTAGCTAGAATCAATATACAAACTCATAACAAGCTAAAAGAAATAACACAATGCTGTCCTCTGCTTTTGTTTGACGCTAACATCTAACGATTAATCTGTCGCTCCTGGTTTTAGAAAGTGCATATCCGTATGCCGCATACAACCGAAATTTTGCTTATTGTGTTATATTGGGTTCATTCTGAATTCTAAAGATTCCAGTCTGAAATCCCTCATAACCTGAACCTGCTTCAGTTCGACATATTGCACTCTCTCAGCTATTTTTTCACTCTTTTGATGTAAATGTCTTCTTTCATATCTGCAGTCCCTCTTCAGCACTGTTAAAGTCATGCCTTTTCTTTTTCCTCTGAAAGCAGTATGGGTGAGTCTCTCCTCTGATACATTTCATGATTTTCCCCTGCTTCTGATCTCTGTGTATCTCCATCAGATAAGGTTTTGAAAGAAGTCTGAAGAAAAAGCAGCGATATAGTTAATATAGTCAGTACATGAGGGTTTGGGGGAAGCAAATGTAAAAATAAATAAATAAATAATAAATAATGATAATGATGTGCCTTGTTTGTTTTCTCCCAGGTTTGAATAAAGTAGAACACAGATAACAGGGCATGGCGAGCCACTTGCTGAGTGAATGCAAATTCCTTCATTTGTATGTGAAGACCGATTACGAGAGGTACTTTAGAATCTTCTATGTCCCAACCCTTCTTGAGCAGACGAGAAGCAAGAATGTGTGTGTGTGTGTGTGTGTGAAAGAGAGAGGGGGAGACTTCCATTCAATAAGAACAGTTTACTTTTATGCATGGCCACATATGAAGCCATTGTGCTACCCAGCACAGCTGTATCTGAAAATATTTAGCAGCAGTGTCTCATGGGACACTCTGCTATTTGTTACGATAATTACTGGTTATATGGGCTACAGGCATTGAGGGTGACATTCATTCTGGCAGAAATAAATTGCATTGCTGCTTTGCAATGCTGGCAAGGGTTAACATAACTTTTATGGGCATTTACCTTACAATTAAGCATATCATTTGAGGAATATGTTGCGATTAACATTAAAAATGTTGTCTTAACCATTTTGGTTATTCTTTTTCCTTTTTCATAGTAAAGGTTTGAGAAGAAGTCATTCTTTCTATGCAAATTACATGTTTAGCAGTAGTACTGTGCACTTCAACACACAATCATTACATATAATACAAACAAATATTCAAAATAGTCTAAAAAAACAGAAGTTTGGAAGTGAAGAAGAAAATGGACTACAGCTGATGCAGTAATCATGGATGTATGCAATACATTTTTCAGCTGGAGCAAAGCTGCCATCTTTCCTACGACCAGATGGCAACATTACATCTCTAAGGTTGACTAATTACAGTGTGCAGAGCCAGAGTTTGAAGAGGATGGAGGGATCCTGCCTCTCTCTCTCCCTCTCCCTCTCTCTCTCTAAACCCATCTCTTACACCCTCTTCCTCTTCCCGAATGGGAGGTTTTAGTAATGTTTTAGCACCATGTTGCTCATTCAAAGCCCAATATGACCTGCTCTCTACTCTACATCAGAAAGCATCATTTTCACCAAGTGCCTGTGTGTCAGTATCAGCCCAAGCAAAGGTGTGAACAGGAAGCATCAACCCATCCTTCCGTTGCCAGACAATCCTGTCACTCCAGGGCAATTCCAATAAAGCTGAAATATTATCTGAGACAAGTCATCAAGATTTGGGAGTGTGATGAAGTGAGGCATGATGCATCTGTCACATGTGGTACATGCTTCACAAGCCAGGGATTACGGATTCAACAAAGGAAATGAAAGCCAAAATGGTATTACTGAACCTGTAGGTACAGTCAGTTCCAGAATTACTGGCACCCTTGTGCCACATACGTTCTTGAGAGAAAACACTATTGTTTATTGTTTAAAAGAAAAAAGTCCTTTCTGAGAAGAAAGTTAAGTAATTTCTCCATGGTCAATAGTTTTTGTCCATTCTATGGAGAGAACAAATAATTCTAGAGTTGACCTATGGGGCTTGTGGGGGTAGATATGCCTTAAATAAAGGATAACTTGTGAAGTCAATCTAAAGTTTGTTTTTCCTTTCCAAGGAGTAATGATTTCCTTCAAGGGAGTATACTCCTGTTCTTAGGTTTTTATATGGTGATCTAAGGCCAGATTAGGTTTTTTTTACCTCTACAGTATAATGACCCTGGAAAAGCCGACTTGATACTACAATGTCGTGATTCAACATTAAACAGGAAACACACATGTATTCATTTATATCTAACAGATGCCCAGCTCTGATAGAGCCAGAGACTTCCTTTAAAGACTTCCTTTAAAATCCATGATCATGATTTATTTTCTCAGATATTGCTAGCTCAAAAGGAGTGACTAAGATTGGGAACTTCCTTTTCTTTTTTTGTTTTATTCTCTTTCTGTGCCTTTAGTTCTCCTCCTGACATCCACCATCCTTTTCTCTTTCTTTCAGCTCCACTGAGAGCAGGCTGGCAGGCGTAGCCCATCCCCATCTCCTGAGCCCCTAAGGTTTTCTCGCTCGCTCTCCCTCCCTCTCTCTCTTCACTTTAGTGACAGGGAGTCTTATTCATCTCCAGCCTTGGCCCATAGCGCCCCGCCAACATCTGCTTATATAACTCGTTTAATTTGAAGTATGTATGCCCCAACTGTCAGGCATCTTTCTCTTCTTTCCCTACTCTACACTTACTCTCTCTCTCTCTCTCTCTCGCTCTCTCTCATTCTTCGTCTGTCCCTTTTTTCTCAGTGTCTGTAATATGTTGATACAGAATCAAATAATACTCATATTCTTATGAGAGGCAAAAACATTTTCTTACAAAACTGCACACTTTTAGCTAGATCTGATTTAGATTTTTCAAAAGTAAGGCATGCTTTATCACTTTTCACACTCTACCAACTAAAAAAAAAAGCCAAAATCCATGTATCAGCACTTTCTCCAAACTGTGAGCTAACCTCCACAGCTTGTGACTGAGTGAAGGAGCGGGAGGTTCCTGTGTGAGGGCAGCTTGCCCAGGGCCTGTGGCTGGGAGCGGATTGACAAAAGCTAGGCCTATGATCAGTAATGCAGTCCCCAGTGAGAGCACA